GCTTTGGGGCCTCTGGGAAGAAGATGCAAGAATTGGTATTTTGATGTAGAACACAAGTTAGAATCTGGTTATAATTATTGGAGGCTCCTTTCATCAGGGGGAAGATGATAGGGAAAAAATGGCAGGAAACAGAAACTGAATGTGCTTACAAACTATGGAAAGCAAATTTTGAAGAAAGATTTCTTTTTTAAATGAAAAATTTTGGTAGCAAATAAAATGCTTTTTTTAAAATATATTTTTTAAAATATATTTTATTGATTTTATACAGAGGAAAGAGACTAGGTGAGATAGCCCCAATCAAAATATATTGTCAGCCCATAAATTATAGCTAGTTGTGGTATACTAGTCACTATATATGTGTTTGCAGATTAAATCTTGAGACCTTGTTATCCTTTTGAACTTTTTTTTTTTAATATATTTTTTATTGATTTTGTACAGAGAGGAAGGGAGAGAGATAGAGAGTTAGAAACATCGATGAGAGAGAGTCATCTATCAGCTGCCTCTTGCACACCCCCTACTGGGGATCTGCCCGCAACCAAGGTACATGCCCTTGACCGGAATCGAACCCGGGACCCTTCAGTCCCCAAGCCGACGCTCTATCCATTGAGCCAAACTGGTCCCAGCTATCCTTTTGAACTTTTGAGTACTCGAGATATACGCCTCTGATGAATAGTCCGGGTAGGTTAATTGCTGCTAACAAGACAACTAAACCTAGCAGTATTACCAATGTACAAGTATTTCTCAAAATTGGCTTTTAAGATAATTTGTAAACAAGGTTTCGAAGTGGTCCTATTATATTACTCAGTGGGGTTGCACATTGTTCCCCGCTGTCACCTGGAACTGCTTCGGGTATGATGGGGGTGGGCCCAGAAGGTTTATGGCCATTCTTCTTTCTTTTTCTGTAAGTAAATTTTTATTGATTTCAGAGAGGAAGAGAGAGACAGAAGCATCAATGATGACAGAGAATCATCCATCAGCTGCCTCCTGCACGCCTTCCACTGAGTATCGAGCCCGCAACCCGGGCATGTGCCCTGAATGGGAATCAAATTGTGACCTCTTGGTTCATAGGTCCACGCTCAGCCCTGAGCCGTGCCAGCTGGGCACCAATCTTCTTCCTAATTATCAGCAAACATGTTCTTTATACCTCAAGATACAGGGACTACAAAAATGTACAAGGTGTACATTATTGCCTAAGGAATTTAGAAGCTGTCCTATCTTTACTGTCTCATTCATCAGTCCGATTTCCAAATCACTTCCTAAGCCTTTCTTCATTGAGATCCAGACTTCTAACCTCTCCTTAAGCATCCATTCTCCTGTGCTAATTCTGTCATAATACAAATCATAATCTATTGTGATTTTGTTGTTGTTAATTGACTCCTTTACTGATTTTTAGGCTAATCACAGTGTCTTGTATCTCTATATCCCTATATCTCTATATAATAATGGAACAGAGGACACTCAATAAATCTTATTGGAACTCTAGAATATATGTCATAAACGATCCAAAACTCTCTCTCCCCTGCCAGGAACTATACTATATCTATAATTTTATGTCCAGTGTCTGGCACAGAGTGAACACTCAAAAATTCTTGAATAATATGTGCTGAGTGCCAAGTAGGTGGCAAATACATAATATAGTATGTGCTGCTGTACAGAGGTTCAGGCTGTCAGACGAGGGTTATGGGAGAATGCTGCACTGAAGAGCTGAGCTTTGGAGGAAGGACAGAACTCATAAGCAAAGAGGAGGGAAGACAAGCATAGAGAGAGGTTATAGAACTTGGGACTTGATCCTAGTAAACATCATATTGTACCAATATTTTAGGAAACATATTATACCGTGATATACATAGCAGTTTCTAAAAGCTTAATCTTACTGTAGTATGTAGGATGATTTAGAGAGGAAGTAATTAGAAGCATATACTAGATAATGCTTCTAGAATACTTTTCCTTGATCATCAAAGTCTCATTTGGGTGCCCCATGTAAGTGCTTCCACAGTTCTTCTCCGATCATAGCGTATATAGACTTGGCTTTCACACCAATTACACTAAGCTGCTTAAGGGCAGAACTGTGTCTTGAACAGTATTAAGTCTTCAATACAAGGCTGAAAACATTTGATAAATTAATATTCATTTCTAGTCCTTCCTGTGAAGGCTATCTTTGTGAGTGTAGACTAAGGCGTACAACCTGGTCTATCTATGTTCTGGACACATATGAGGACATGCCAGGAGCTTTACCATAATTTACAGATATTTAGGGCACTTTACTATTGACAAAGTTGCCTCACTAAACTGGTTTTTTTCTTCATTTTGCCTTTGTGCTATTTATAAGATCTGATTCTGGTACCTTCTCCACAGAAGTTGGTCAACTAATTTTTTTTTTTTTTCAGGCAGAAACTCTTCCAGAATCATTGGATTTAGAAAAGTGAACAAATTTTATAACTAACTTAGAATTTCTTAAAAAATCCAAATAACCATGGAAATAACAAAGTTGTTTTCCATTGGAGTAAAAAAAAGAAAAAGTGCTATACTTCAGGCTCCCTTTAACATTATCTTTCATTTAAATATTCCTTCATAAAAATGTGCGAATATTTAGGATTGTAAGTTCAGGTATATTTCTCTGCCATAGTGCTAATCTATTAAATTCAAATACATTAAAGCAACGTTAAATTAATAAATGTTTTTGCCAGTATGGCTCTGATCTACTTGGTATTTTAGACATCTTTAGAATTTGAAATTGGCACATTGAACTGTTAAAGTATGTTTCCCTAATATAAAAGTTATTAAGTAGCCTTGGGAATTGTTTTGTGTTATAAATGCAGCTTGAGTCAACTGAAAGTATCCTGCAAGAAGCTACATCATCCATGTCTTTGGTGACCCAGGTTGAGCAGGAAGTATCCAGCCTCCAGCATATCATGCATGACATTCAAATTAGTGAAGAGATGCTCGCTCAAAAGATGCAGAGCCTTAATGAGAAACTCCAAAATGTCACCAATTTCTGGGAGAGAAGCCTGGAAGAAATGAATGCTCAGACAGACACTTTCAAATCAGAATCAAAGCATATGCATTCGCAAGTGACTGTTCAGATTAACTCAGCTGAACAAGGCATCAAGTTGCTCACGGAAAGGCTGAAAGACCTGGAAGACAGCACACTCAGAAATATCAGAACAGTGAAAAGACAAGAAGAGGAGGATCTCCTGCGCGTCGAGGAGCAGCTGGGCTCTGATGCAAAAGCAGTTGAAAAGTTAGAAGAGGAACAGCATGCTCTCTTGGCCAGAGATGAAGACCTGACCAATAAGCTTTCCAACTACGAGCCCAAAGTTGAGGAATGCAAGACACATTTGCCAACCATTGAGAGTGCAGTTCGCTCTGTTCTCAGAGTCTCTCAGGATCTGATGGGGACAGAAAAGAAAATGGAAGATTTAACTCTCCAGATGTTTAATATGGAAGATGATATGCTGAAAGCAGTATCTGAGATCATGGAAATGCAGAAAACTCTGGAAGGACTTCAGTACGACAACAGCATATTAAAGATGCAAAATGAGCTGGATGTTCTGAAAGGAAAAGTCCATGACTTTATGGTATATTCAGGTGCAGGAGAAAAGGGAACTTTAAAAGAACATAATCTAGAAAATAAAGGAATTGATAGTGACCTTTAAATGCACTACATTTATTCTGATGAACCATATATTATACATCAATTTATTAGTTCCCTGCTTTTGTGTTATTTTGATATGTCTCACTTACCCTACATTATTGGAAAAGAAGTGAGATGTCCACAGAAATGTATTATCCAGACAATCAAAGCTTATCTCTAAGCAATACAACTTATTCCATTTTAATCATTTTAAATAGGAATCACTCTAAAATATATACATATATATCTCTACTTTTTAAAAAGCAATATCCTTCATATGTTTCATGTTCTTCTTATTAATGGTCATTATTATGAATTTCACCCATTGGACCCAAATATATTAATATCTCTAGTAGCTAATGAGGGGTGTTTACCTCCTCTAAGTGACCCCAGTTTGCTATTTTTCAAATCTTATGTCTTCTTCTTATATCTCTTCTGTCACCTGAAAAGGTGACCCACTGACCTGTTACTGTCAGGTGTGTCGGTGAAGTGCCAGCCTCAGCCAGGCCTTCATTTCCTCTGTAATTTACTACAGGCTAAGAGTCCAGACCACAGAGTTCATAGGAATTTTGTTTATTAAAAAAATAGCATGCCCAAGAGCAAGATTGGGGTACTTTGGTATGCATTAATATGCACTTTTTGAAAACTGTGGAGCCTTGGAAATGTTTTTACTTTTTGTTAAGGTTCTAAACTGTGTTATAGATACTTGTTAGAATCTTCAAATAAGAGTAACATACAGTGAGGCAAAAGTAGGTTTACAGTTGTGAGTAAGCAAAAATTTATTCTTGTATTATTATTTATTCATTATCATATTATTTTCCATACAAACAACTGTAAGCCTACTTTTGCCCCACCCATATCGTTGGGTTTTTGGGATTTTTTTGTTTTGTTTTGTTTTTTAAGTTTTTTTTTTCCTATGAATGCCGTATGTATGCTTTGAAGTATAGACTTTTGGGATATTTCGGTATAGCTGGGCTTTTTTTTTTTTTTTTATAAAGGTTCTGACTGTGTTACAGACTCCTGAGTTTGCTAGATACAAGATTTTTAGATAAATTATCTAGAACATACACCAATAAGTCTGTGACTGTTTTAAAGAGGGAAAAGCAGCAAAATGAGAAATGAGAGCCAGCCTGCCATCTCCTTAACTCTCCAGCCTCACCACTTTCCACTCCTTCCCTCTCTCCCTGCTCACACCTTTACACTGATTTTTCACCTAGAATGCTCCCTCCTCTCCTTTAGGATTTTTTTTTCTCTCTCTTTTTTTTAAGCAGCTATGGAAAGTATATATTATTGATTTCAGAGAGGAAGGGAGAGGGGGAGAGAGAAACATCAATGATACGAGGAAACCACCCATCAGTTGCCTCCCACACACCCCCTACAGGGTGAGGAGGATTGGCCACAACCCAGCATGTGCCCTTGACTGGAATCGAACCCGCAATTCTTCAGTCTGCAGGCCGACACTCTATCACTGAGCCACGCCGGCTAGGGCTTGAGGGTCTTTCTTAACCCTCCACTGCCCCTCCTGTATAAAACTGTAAACTTTCAACTCCCTGTCCCCCTAAGAAACTTTCTACAATATGTAACTTATTTTAACTATCATCCCCAATATGAGTTCTAGAAATGCAAGGGTTTATCTGTGTTGTTCACTGATACATTCCCAAGGACCAGAACAGCCCAAGTTACCTGACAAGAGTGCAGTAAATATTTGTGAATTAATGTTACTCACTTAAGAGATGTTTGCTGGGCAGCTGGCCCATGCTGAGTTTGTTAAAGCCAAGATAAGTAAGACACTGTACTGGCCTTGAATGCACCAGAAGGAGAACTGACCACGAACAAAAATGTGCACCACAGGACTGCAAACTAAGGCCACGGGCAGACATGCCAAATGATCCGAGGACAAGGCCTTTGCTTCCCCTTTCTGGGGACCGGTTCAGCTTCCCACCGACTTGCAGCTCTCCAGGCATCCCCTCCACTCGCCTTCCCCAAGCCGGAGCAGTTACTTTCTTATCCAGACTGTGTGCAACCTTCGGCCTCTTCACACAGGCACAGGATTTGATGAAAGAAATTTAAAAGGTTCTGCTTGCCCAGATGGTATGGCTGAACCTATACACCAAGAAGTCACCCATCCATTCCCAGGTGGTCAGGGCACATGCCCGGGTTGTGTGCTCCATCCCCAGTTAGGGGACTTGCAGGAGGCAGCTGATCGATGTTTCTATCTCTCCCTTTTCTTTCCTCTCTCTAAATATCAATAAAACATTTTTTAAAAAAATAAATAAATAAAAGGCTCTGCTCTTCAGGCTCCACCCTCTCTCCCTTGCCTCAGGGCCACTCCCCACAGTGAGCCAAGTACACAAAAAATAAACATTTTTAAAAAGAGAGAGAAATGATGACAATTAGGGAAATTAAAAGTATGTCATTATTTTAGTTCTATGGAAAGTAATGTCACAGGCTGAAAAAAAAAAAAAAAAGTATGTCATTATTTTAGAGTCCCCAAACTAATTACCCAACCAGATTTGTTTCACATAGTGATTTATTTTACTCAAAATTACATAATAGGATCATAAGGAATAAGACAGGCATGCTAAGGTGATTAAGCAGAGACCTAGCCGTATTTTTCTAATAACTATAATCAGAAATGTGCAGGATTGGGGGAGCACAGGAGACTTTTATTGATAAACTGATACATTAAGAGTGTCCAAACTTGGTGTTGAAAACTAAGACAACTGTATATGGAGGCACTATTCTTATTGATTCTTGCCAATAACCAACTGTAGTCCCTTTTTGTAATGCAGTTTCAATGGAATTAAGCACAAACAACTTGAAAGCAGTCAGTTACAAAAGGTAGTTGTGGTCAGGTAGTTAGTTGTACTACGTAAATTTGCACATTTGGGGGGAAATCCCAAATAAGTTCTACTACGGTGGATAGCTGTGGGTCATAAAAGTGGAAGAGTCTTTCTATTAAAAGTCACAGCATTAATTTCTGAAATCTTAACATTAAATTCCTCGAGTTCAGAATGTCTAAGTTTTTGTCTGTGTGCACTGACAAAATTGTATTTGTTTGTTTTTATTTTCATACTAATAAAATAGATTATAAAGTTAGCTGGAATTTGTTCTTTCACTGTCCATCCTGTCAGAGAGATGTGATCTCTTGTATTCTTCATTTCTATTTACTTAATTTTTTGGCCTATCACCATATTTGACACACCATCATGATTTTTTAAAATATATTTTTGTTGATATCAGAGAAGAAGTGAGAGGGAGAGGGAGAGAAACATCAATGATGTGAGAGAATCATTGACTGGCTGCCTCCTGCACACCCCAGTGTCCTGATGGGGAATGAGACCATGACCTCCTGGTTCTTTTTTTTTTTTTTTTTTTTTTTTTTTTTTAATAAGTTTTTATTGTTCATATTATTACAAATGTTCCTTTCCCCCCACCCACCATTGCTCTCCTCCACCAGGTTCCCATCCCACCCTCTGCCCTTTCCCCTCTCCCCATTGTCCTCATCCATAGGTGCACAGTTTATGTTCAGTCTCTTCCCACGCCCCCCTCTCCCCTTTACCCCAAGAATCGTCAGTTCACTCCCCTTCCATACCTCTGATTCTATTATATTCAACAGTTAATATTGTTCATCAGATTTTTTTAATTTCCTTGGTTTTTAGATTCACTTGTTGATAGTTATGTATTTGTTGTTCATAATTTTTATCTTTGTTTACTTTCTCTTCTGAAAGAACCCCCTTCAGCAATTCATATAATTCTGGTTTGGTGGTGATGAACTCCTTTAGCTTTTTTTTATTAGTGAAGCTCTTTATCTGGCCTTCGATTCTGAGTGATAGCTTTGCTGGGTAGATTATTTTTGGCTGTAGGTTCTTGCTATTCATCACCTTGAATATTTCTTGCCATTCCCTTCTGGCCTGCATGGTTTCTGTTGAGAAGTCAGCTGACAATCGTATAGGTGCTCCTTTGTAGGTTACTACCTTCTTTGCTCTTGCTTCTTTTAATATTCTCTCTTTGTCTTTTGCTCTTGGAATTTTAATAATGATGTGTCTCGGTGTGGTCCTCTTTGGATTCCTTTTGTTTGGAGTTCTGTGCGCTTCCTGGACTTGTAAGTCTAATTCTTTCACCAGGTAGGGGAAGTTTTCTGTCACTATTTCTTTCAGTATGTTTTCCATATCTTGCTCTCTCTCATCTTCTGGGACCCCCATAATTCTGATGTTGGTTCGCTTGAAGTTGTCCCAGAGGTTTCTTACATTATCTTCAATTTTCTGGATTCTCTTGCCTTCTAGCTTCTGTGGAGGAGTGTCTTCTGGCTCTTTATGTTCCAAATCTTTGACTTGATTCTTGCGATCTTCCCTTCTGTTTTTAGGACTCAGTAAAATATTTTTTATTTCAGACAATGTATTCTTTATTTCTTGTTGATCCCTTATCATTTCTTGTTGACTCCTTATTAATTCTAGTTGATCTCTTTTCATATCCTCGTAGCCCTTATCCATCTTTTCTAAGAAATTCTTGAAAAAACTTATAAGCGTAGATTTGAACTCTATATCCAGACGCTTTTTGTCCTCCATTTCTTTCGTTTGTGATCTATTTTGTTGTCGCATTTCGCAGTTACAGATGGGACGGGGTTTCAGGGTGGAGCCTGCAGCTTTGGCTTCTGTCAGCCCCGCCCTATGCGGGTCCTTCAGTGCTCGCTGCTGCCAGCGCCTCTGAGAGAAAGGTGCCCTCGATTTTCGCCTGCTGCCAAACAGTCTATGCTCTCCCACAATGAGCCCGGTATTGGGGTTCAGTTCAGTTGGAAATGGAGTTGGAGGTGGCGTTCAGAGCAGTCTGGAGCCCCAGTCTCCTTCCCGTCAGGGCAATCCCGCGGCACAGCAGACCGTCCCTTCTCTGCGCGCAATGTGCGCGCCTCCGGGACCTCCTTTCGCCTCTCCCCGGGGTTCCGCCTTACAGCCCGGCTCCCTATGGCTGAGCCTGAGTCCCCGGGGTCTGGCCCAGAACCGGGGTTCAGAGCAGTTGGGGGCCCAGCACAGTCGGAGCTTTTCTCTCCTTTCCGCTAGGGAACGCCCGCCAGGCACTCGGCCTCCCTCCTCTCCGGCTCCGTCCTCTCCGCGCGCCGCGTCTCTGTACCTTGGGCTTTTCCAGCTCCTCCGCGCCTCCTTCTGGTTTTCTCCTTGCTTCTCACTGTAGAATTTCCAGTCAGTCAACCTTCCTGTAGTTCTGGGCAATGTCCGTTTTATATTTTAGTTGTATTTTATTGAAATTGTTGTGTGCGGCTGCGGCTAGGTGTTCACCTGGGCGCAGCCATCTTGGATCCTCGACCTCCTGGTTCTTAGGTGAACACTAAACCGCTGAGCCACGTCAGCCAGGCACTCTGCATGTCTTTTTTTTTTTTTCTTCTTCTTCTTTTTTTAATTGAGTTTATTGGGGTAACATTGGCTAATAAATTATATGTTTTGTTGTTGTTAGTTTATTTTGTTCATTAGTTTCTCACCACAGCTTTGCTAACTATGACCCATTTTACAAATGAGGACATAGAAAATTAGCAAGATTGGGAACCTTGCAAACAAACTTTTGGGTCTGTCCAAAAGAATTTATTTTAGCCGAGACCGGTTTGGCTCAATGGATAGAGCGTCGGCTTAGGGACTGAGGGACCTGGGTCCGATTCCGATCAAGGGCATGTACCTTGGCTGCGGGCATATCCCGCAGTAGGGGGTGTGCAAGAGGCAGCTGATCAATGACTCTCTCTCATCGATGTTTCTAGCTCTATATCTCTCTCCCTTCCTCTCTGTACAAAATCAATAAAATATATTTTTTTTAAAGAATTTATTTTAAATAATTCAGAAAAACAATTAGTAGACAATTCCTACAGTGTATTGAGTTTATATTTTAGTAAATCTCAGTGGAAGTTCTTGATAAATTGCTTTTGTAAACTACCAAGTAAAGCAAAGAGGCTTACTATATAGTAAGAATAAACTTAGGCTCTCTCCGCCTCGCTCTGCCACTGCTCTCGCTCCCGGGTCAGACAGGCCAGAGCGAGAAGATGGCGAAGATGGACGATTATCTGTTCAAGCTGCTGCTGATCGGCGACTCGGGTGGGCAAGACCTGGCTCCTTTTCTGCTTTTCGGAGAACGCCTTTAACACCACCTTCATCTCCACCATCGGAATTGATTTTAAAATCAGAACGATAGAATTTGATGGAAAGAAAATTAAGCTTCAGATATGGGACACAGCAGGCCAGGAAAGATTTCGAACCATCACGACAGCATACTATAGAGGAGCCATGGGAATCATGCTGGTCTATGACATCACAAATGAAAAGTCCTTCGACAATATTAAAAATTGGATAAGAAACATTGAAGAGCATGCCTCTTTAGACGTGGAAAGAATAATCCTGGGTAACAAATGCTATATGAATGACAAAAGACAAGTGTCAAAAGAAAGAGGGGAGAAGTTAGCAATTGACTATGGGATTAAATTCTTGGAGACAAGTGCAAAATCCAGTACAAATGTAGAAGAGGCATTTTTTACACTTGCACGAGATATAATGATAAAACTCAACAGAAAAATGAACGACAGCAATTCATCGGGAGCAGGTGGACCAGTGAAAATAACAGAAAACCAATCAAAGAAGACCAGTTTCTTCCGATGTTCGCTACTTTGATGAACTTCTTTCTGAGAGACTGCAGCACACCCAGAGGATCCTTTCCTGCTTCTCTGAAAGCACAGGTCACCCAGCCTCAGAACCACAGCGCCAGGCTGCTGCTGAGAGCACCACTGAGCCCAGACCTCTGGACACAGAACACCTCGTGGATTCCAGCCACAGCCTAGCGAGATACAGGCTCCTTTTTTCAAACATGGAAGCAACGAGATGGAGACACATGCAAGACTTGTTTTTTTTCTTTGTTTTGTTGCCTTTTGCAGAAGCCGCTGTCTTTTCTTTTTCGCTTTGCACATCAGTGTTAGCCTTTCCCTGTTATAGCACAGTCTTAGATCTCACACGCACACTCTTGTCTCATCAGGTTCTAGACAAATGTGTGCTTTGGGGAGGTTTAAAACAAGAGTAGAACATTTAAAGCAGAGGTCAATATAGCTAAAGTTAAAGGACATTTGGCCTGATGTTCCTGTGGCCAGATGTTATTGCATTCATGGCATTTATTTAAGGGCTCTGATTTGTGATTTTCTTAAATAAGAATCATTCAATTCTGATAAAATTTATCTTAAAAATGTAAAAAAAAAAAAAAAAAAGAATAAACTTAGCTTTTTCTGAGGTGTCTTAATTATGTGCTATTAAGCAACATTTACAGAGAAGATACATTAATAAATGTTAACCTAGTAATGAAAATAAGCCATCTCTTTTCACCCTTGGGGATCTTCAGTTTCAGTGAATATACTTTATTGCAAAACTTCCCCCTTAAAAATAAAATGTGGTTTTGCAATTACTACTTGATTTCCTTCCCATTTGTGGCTGTCCCTTATTGCCACAGTTGCAATGACATTTTCACAATCTAACTTCTCTATCAAAAAAGGGAGGGGGGGAGGGGCACCTCCCCCACAAATAATTAATGAAGCATAAACCTGTTGAGGAAAAAAATTCTAAAATTTACAAACATATATGATGGGGCAATTGGATTGCTGCTTTGAATTAATTAACTGTTCTACTGGCCCATTTCAGCCTTCTATTTCTTTGCAACTACATAGCTGCTCCTTTGACTTCTTTTTTTTTAATTCTCACCTAAGGATATTTTTTCCATTGCTTTTCAGAGAAAGTGGAAGGGCAGCCTCAAAGGAGAAAGAGAATCATTGATGTGGGAGAGGTGCATCGACTGGTTGCCTCCTGCACACTCCACCGCCAACAACAACTTGAAATGTTGACAGGCACTCAAAATGTCCATCAGCTAATGTGACCAAGTTAAACCAAAACGACAGCTCAGAGATATCAGTATACAGTGGATGGTGGGGAAGGACAATGGCATTGAAACATACAAAAACTAAGAGCCACTTGTATTTGGAATCATGGAATTTTAGAACCGTGGAGATAGCTTTTGTTTATTTGTTGTTTTGTTTTTCACATGTATGTCTTCTCTACTAAACGAGTAAA